GGCGTCGTGTACCGGGGGAAACTCTCCGACGGGCGCGAAGTCGCGATCAAGAGAGGCGAAACGGGGCCGAAAACGAAGAAGTTTCAGGAGAAGGAGAGTGCATTTGAATCAGAATTGGCATTCTTGTCTAGGCTTCACCACAAGCATTTGGTGAGGCTTGTTGGGTTTTGTGAGGAGAAAGATGAGAGGCTGTTGGTTTATGAGTATATGAAAAATGGGGCTCTTTATAATCATCTTCATGACAAGAACAACTCTGAAAAAGCCAGTAGCCTTGTAAACTCTTGGAAAATGAGGATCAAAATTGCTTTAGATGCAGCTAGAGGAATTGAATATCTTCACAATTATGCAGTCCCTCCCATCATCCACAGAGACATCAAATCCTCCAACATTCTCCTCGACTCGAATTGGACGGCGAGAGTGTCTGATTTCGGGTTGTCGTTGATGAGTCCGGGGTCGGATCGTGACTTCCGACCCACGAAGGCAGCTGGGACAGTTGGTTATATTGATCCTGAGTACTATGGATTGAATGTTTTGACTGCTAAGAGCGATGTGTATGGTCTTGGGGTGGTGTTGTTGGAGCTTTTGACAGGGAAGAGAGCTATATTCAAGGATGATGAACAGGGAGGGACGCCTGTGAGCGTTGTCGATTTTGCGGTGCCTGTGATTATGGTTGGGGAACTGGTGAAGATCTTGGATCAGAGGGTCGGGCCACCGCAGTTGAACGAAGCGGAGGCTGTGGAGCTGGTGGCTTACACGGCGATGCATTGCGTGCATTTGGAAGGGAAAGACCGCCCGACGATGACCGACATTGTCGCTAATTTGGAGCGAGCTTTGAACCTCTGTGATGATAGCCATGGCAGCATCTCTAGTGGTGGAATTTCCATTGTTTCAGAGTGAAAWAATTCTTCAAACACAAGAAAATTTTTGAGATGTTCATTGCTTTTTTCCTCTCACATTCTTTATGGTATACTCTTAGTCTTAGGTGTAAAAAGTTGAAAAATTTTCATATCTAACATTGAGTTCAACAAAAAACATCACTTTTTTCCACCATACAATTCTCAAATTCTGTCGACCCTTTTTTCGCCATGTTTGAGCATCTTTGTTCATATGTCGATATGATCGTTCTCGATAGATCATGGGACCATCACGAACATTTTGATCGATTGGAAACTAGAGTTATGATTCTCCATCTGGTATACTCTTAGGTACAAAAAGTCAAGACGTTTCCATGCCTCTATAGTTTTGATAATAATACACCAACCAATTTTGTAGAACCTTTCTTTTCACTATGTTCGAACATCTTTGGTCGGTACGATCGTACATTTAGCTCGGTTGTAAATTAGAATTCGAGAAACAAAAAAGGARAAAAAACAGTTGAAGAATTTTGAAGAGATGGAGTATATCAATATTCTTATCTGCAAACACATGAGAAAAATGGAGAAGAAGGACAAGTGTGAATAGAGATTGGGTATTGGAGATTTTCCCATGTGCTTTTGGAGGGTCCTCTTTGAATTTGAGCCCTTCTTTACAAAAATTTTCTCCAAAATTTTGAAAAGAATTTGACCCATAAAAAGTAATAATGGAAAATATTGGGGACGAAAAAGAAAAGAAAAAAAGAAGTGGTCCAAGCTGCAAAGTTAAAAATTTTGACTTTGAGAACAGAAATAGGAGTTGCATTTTAATTGGATAAGAGTGGAAGCGGGCGGACACGTGTAGGGTCTGATCATGGGGTTGAGATGTTAGTGGATTGGTCTCCTAAAAGTCATCAAATCAGACGGTGGAAATTCAATAGGTGTATTATGATGTAGAGTAAATGAGAAGTAGAGGAACCAAAAAAATAAAGAAAAAAAAAAGAAAAAAAAAAGAAAAAAGAGATGGTAAAAGAAAAAAAAAACAAAAAAAGGGGTCAGTGTTGAGGGCAGGTGAACTGCCCTGTCTCTTTATTTGTTAAATATTTCTCCCAAAAATTCAAAGGGAGGCCATGGGAAAAGTCTTGAAATTTTTGGCACCTAATAGATTAAAGTATGCTTATTAAGAGTTCGTTTCGTAACGTTTTTGTTTATTATTTCTTGTTTCCATTTTCCATTTGTTCCCAAACATAAATAAAAAAAAAATTGTTTGATTATAATTGAATTCATAGATGTTGAGATCATGCAATTGATTTATTAAAAATGAAGAAACAGAAACAAGGAATAAAAACGTTACTAAACGGACTATAATGTTTTCATTTTTTGTTTCTCGTTTTAAATTTTGTTAAAAAATCTAAGCATTTGAGAACAACTATTTATCTTTCTCATGTTTTAGAAACATTCTCAAAATTATATAGAAATTYAATTAAAAACAACATAAACAAGAAACTTTCTTGTTCATGTTTCTAATTCGTTATAACATAAATAAAAATATTCTTTTATCACTCTTAAATCTCGGAGGGTTGGGATCATAAGATTCTATTTTTATTTAATAAAAAAAAGGAAACGGAAACAAAAAAAAACAGAAAAGTTACCAAATGCACCCTAAATGTTTCCAAAAAATTGAAAATGAGAAATGAGAAACAAGAATATTACTCCTTAATCTTCGTACTTTAGAGAATATTTTATATGTCTTTAGTCCATCAGCTTTAAAAAGTTCAAATTACGCCCCATCACACATTTTAACSCGACATTTATGCCTACCTACGAATCCTCGTCAAATTATACGATAAGAATTTCTCCCCTTCTTGGTTTTATTCTTTCATTAGCAAAAAAGGAAGAAATTTTAGCTTAGCTTTGATCCCAAATATAATCCAACTATATTGAGAGGTACCTATCATTATTCATTACTATTTGTTATATTCTTTGAAATTGTCCACTCATTTTGCCAACTTCTTCAACATCGCATCTTGACCAATTGGTTGTCACATTCATATTGTCTATTAATCATCATTAATGGTACACAACCATCATAGGAATCAAATAAATTCCAACTCTTTTTAAGGACAAAGTCACAAATGTTATTTTGAAACCTAAAAACTATTAAAGTATCATCATAGGCTAAATTACATCAAATACCTCTAATATACCCTAGTGAAAAAAGTTTATACTAAAGTTCAATCTTGAAACTTTGTATAGTTTAGTTTCTCGACGAGGTAACTACCCCTTAAGCAAGGATTGACCATTTTTTTTAGTTCAGCAATATGTGAAGGTGAAGATTCAATTATCCGACTTTTTGATCGAAGATATATATCTTGACCTGTTATGCTATATTTAGGTTGGTGTAGTGCAATGTTTCACAATTGTTTAATGAGAAACGTTGAATCAATAGAATTAATATATTATGACTTTGGAAGTTAATAATATTCAATTTATTAATTATTAAAAGTGATATTTCCGAAGATAAATAATTAGGAAAAGAACAAAAGTAACATCAAGTGGTGAGAATGTTTGAAGAAATGGAACTTTCAATATAATTATTACATTTCATTTTTTATTAGTTTTTAGACAGATTTACTCACAGTCACAGGTTGATTATTCGTGAAATTTAAGATTTTGACTCCTCTGTCTTCACCACTGTCGTGGACTCAACTCTCAATCATATTCCTTTGCAGGAAGGGGAAAAAAAACCTTCAATGATATTTTTTCAAGATTTAGGTCTAATAAATTTCTAAAATTTCAATTTTACGTCTCCTAAGTTTTAAATTTCAAAATACATCTGGAAATTCTTAAATTTTTAAATTTGTATCTCATAGGTTCCTGTCATTTATTTATTTTTAATTCATAGATCAAATATAAAGTTGAAAAGTTAAGGTCTTATGAGACACAAATTTCAATATTATGTCTAATATGTTTTAAACCCTATTATATATACAATTCTAAAAGTTGAGTAACTAAGCTTGTAATTTAACCTTAAAAGATATGATAAATTATATTGATGGATGAATTGATCAAAGTTTTAGAAAACTACATTAGTGACTATTGAAATTATCAGTTGGAGAGTCATCTTACCTTTGAAATAATAATGCTTTGTTTTATTTATGTTTCAATTATATTTACAAACTTCAAATTAAATTTATACATAGCATTTAATATAGTGTTAACATTTATAAAAGAAAAGGTTAATGTGTCCAATTTAAATTTTGGACGAAACTTTTTAGTTATGCGTAATTCAAATTTTATAGATACAAGAACCAAAATTGTAAATTGAATAGTGTATTAATAACATTATAGCTTGATATATAACCAGGAAACAAATGACCTAAAATTTCTATTTATATAACGACAAGAGACAAAACAAAGAATTTATGAAAAATTGAGAATCAAAATAAAAACATTTCAAAAATTTAGAGCAAATTATTTTTCTTATATAAGTAATAGTGTAATATTTTAAAATATATTTTTCAGTATCTACAATAATTTGAATGACCTTCCTTCAACGAGTCAAGCATAGTTCAATTAATTAAAATATATTATAAAAAAAAAATCGAGCAGCTTAAATCTTCACTCGTTGAAGTAAAAGAAAAAAGGATCATTTTCTTCAATGAGAAAAGAAAAAGCAACTTTTGTCAACTATATTCTCCTGTAACAGTAAAAGTCCCATATCATATTACAGCCTTTGGAGCTCAGCAGAGCCAAAATAAAAATGGAGAGGACATTATTTGACAGCTGAGTGGTGGAAAACTGAGCTACCTTATCCAAAAAAGATATTTCCGTAATAAAGTTGAACAAACAACACCTGTCAAGAAGAAAATCCAAAATAATATTTTTATAATCCGCACACATGTGTGGGGGTCCCAACAGACAAATTTCTGCAGTGTCTATAAAACTTTTTGGACAGACATCTGTTGGAACAGTCAATTCCCAACAGAAAAACCAAACAAAAACAGTACACTTGATCATACAATTGAACAGTGAAAATGCAGCCTTCTCCCATTTATCACAACCATAAACAACAGCACTACATATATCATGATACTCGGCTAATGGATCCTCACAAAAGGCAAAACTAAACAATACCAATAATAACAGAATAGAATTAAGGAACAAAAGCTTAATAATTTGAAGCTGTACATTATTTATTATGATGTAGTGGAACTTGCCTTCGTTGTCAAACAAAATCAAACCCCATCAGAAGCTTGACGGATTTGTACTTCTCTCCCTTGATGTCGTGGAGTGGAACTGCTCGAATCCCTCTTCTTAGTTCTGCAACGGGCAGGCATGTCTGGCCTCCGAAATCATCCTTTTCAGACATGTCGTACTCGTGAACCTCGATGCGAAGCAAAGCGAGTTCAGGAACGGTTAATGGAAACTCAAACTCCTCGTTCCAAGCAGGCACCCAGTTATCCTCTAATGTTTTTGTTTTCTTCATTACCGTGTCAGCTGGAACTCCAGCAATGCCTACCTGCATATGGATTAGGAATCAGTCGATGAAGTTTCAAGGCAACACAAACCAAGAAGCCAAATGTCACGATGGTGAAGAATTGAAGACTTCGACATAAAACTTCAAGCTAATAAAGTTCTGTGTTATCACGAGTAGAGAAAAATAGGTTTTAGCTACATTCAACATCAAAATATTGTAAACTTCATCAACATACCCTCGTATAAAAGTCGGGTGGAGAGTAAGCATCAAAGTGCGTGTGATGAAAATCGTAGTACCATCCTTCTCCCATATAAACAGTCACCTTCGCAACAGAAAATAAAGCCAAGCCATCATTATTAGTATAAGCAAATTTACATTTACACTTCAGCCAATCGCTAGAGAAAACTGAAGCACAGTCTAAGGAGAGGGAAAATAGAGTTGTAGTGCAGTTACCTTCAAAGTTATTTTCACTTGCAACCTAACTCTAGGATCAAAGATCTCATCATCTGAACCAGGCTTCAGTATAAAATCTGGTTTTTTTACATAACCACACCCACCATTAGCTTTGAACATCCCATGCATCAACCATAGTGACCTTCCATAACCCTGTTGTAATTCACACATATTCTAAATTCGGTGATTGAAAAATTATAGAAACAAAATCCTGAACTTATCAAAAGAAATAAAATGCTTAGAATAAGAAAATTAATAAGCGGAAGTTGTCCTTTTATCCATAATCATACTATCAATCTTCTGTACATAATGGAATAAGTTAATAATGAGAAACGAGACTCAAAACCATTTCTAGTCATTAGGCAAATGGTTAGGGAAGAGGATTGTTAGTGTTGTATGATATTTGTCCAATTAGCTGGTTAGCAATAAGTTAAGATATTATCTAATCTTTCATCTTAGATGGTCAAACTGCTTGGAGCTCAAAGATTCGCATTCTTACCAGCTAAACAAGCAAAAGAAGGATGAAAGAGAATGAAGTGAAGATGTTCTGTAATTAAACAATTCATAACCAAATCTCTGATTCAATATAAGGGAGAAGACGAAAGGACCTGCATGTTAAGTGCAACCATTTGAGCACCATGGGTCCACCCAATCATAGGGTTATAGTTGGATGAGTCAAACCTGATCCCCTTTGGATAGACTCTCAAAATGTTCTGCTGAGTAAACCTACAGCAAATAAGAAGAGAAAGCTGAAGAAAAGTAAAAAATTTGCTCCGAGAATGAGCCAACTCCAGAGAGACAACATAAGAAATACTTCAAGATATGTTATCATAGATCACATCAAATATCTACCCCCCTCCAGAAAAAAAGGAAAAAGAAAAAAGGTCCCAGTATGGGCTTGGCAGTTCTCTGCCTGTGCCTGTAGCAGGGGACAAGTTAACAAAAGTTTCACCATTCTAATTTCTACTTCATCCATATGTTTACAAAATCATTTGAACTAATAGACTCCAAAATTTTCTGTTCCTCAGTCAATGAAAATAATATGACTTCATGCACACTGACTCTGCCTTTTCTAAAAAACACAAGAACTTCAAAATAATATGGACCTCCTAAATGTAATTATGTAAGCGGCTAAGCCCCTTGAAATATATGCGACCCATTTAGATGCCTACTTGTCGAAGATCATTAACTAGACATTACATATTAAGAATATCTTAAATTGAGAAACAGATTTTATTCATACCTTACAATTTGTTTTCCATGAGTAAGCACTGCCTTTTCTAGTTGTTGCTCACTCAAACTCAGGCGTCTAACTTTCTCGGGATCCACCTTGAGGCATGCATCAATTCCACCTTTAGGCTTTCCCGCATGAATGGCAATTAAATTTTTATATTCAGGTGCAAGATTCTGTGAAGACTTGAGATCTCCATCCTCAGTATCTTCCTCATCATTACTATCTTCATCCAAATCTTGCTGTGAAGTAGAACGAAGCATTATATCAAACTTGTTTTTCTTTTCAGAAAGCACAAAGATGAAAAGAATCATGGACAAATCATCACAGACCTTGTAGTCAGTTACAGTACCACATTTCAAGCTTGACACTTCTCTACCCCATGCTGATGTTTCTTTAGCCTCACCAGGAGTCTTTTCCTTCTGTGACTCACTCTCCTTTGGAACTTCTTTGGTCTTAAGGTACTCCTTAGGTGGTTTAGTTGATATAATAATCCTTTTCTTCAGTGATTCAGGGGAAGGAAACTCCTTCAAGCATTCAGAACCAGGAGAGAACAGGATGTCTCCAAATGTATTTGTTACCATCTAGAACGGTTCAGACAATTATAAGATCTTAAAATGCTTTGACAAAAAAGATGGGGGTTATGAAGAAGCAAAGTAGTGCACCTCAGCCACTTTAGCTTGAAGATTAGGAGGAAGGTGGTCTTCCAATGTTATCACAACTGGATATTCAGATGCAACAAAGGCATGCTCCTTAATAGATTTCAAACACTTAATGAGCTCCACAGGGGTAGTCAACGTCCTGAAAAGCAATCTCCCAATTAGGAATCATTAAGGAAAAAAAAAAGACTTTTCCACATTAAACAGAAGAACACCTGCCATGAAGAACATCTATATCATCCTTTGACGAATTGGGCCATATATCCAATTCAATAACTCTAACTCCTCGCTGCAGGGCTTGAATGATGGGCACATCACTGCAGTCACTACTGAGCTGGTTCCCAGTCAGATAGGAGTTGTGACCTGTATATATGTAATAATGCGACAAAGGAGCACTCATGTCATGGTGCACCTGAAGCAAAGAGGATATAATCCATGTTCAGTGTTAATGTCGAACTTATCTTCCTAGTGGTAACAAGAAAGCTAAAACATAACCCTCATGAAAATAAGGAGATCGGGGATCCCTTTCAATACAAGCAAGAACATGTAAAGGGTTTTCTCTACAATTGACTGTAACAGCACTCATCAGCACAGTAAAAAAAAACGAGGGAAAACACAGCAAGGAACTCTGTGTCGTCCAATTCCGCGCGAGAATCGACGAAGAGAAAGAGGCGAAATCGGAAGCGGGAGCAATTAAAGAAAATTACCCCAAGAGAGTCTTGCGGAGGGTTAAGATCGCTGAAGAGGTACTTAAAGAAGGCCTCGAGATTGAGGACCTTGCGATGGAAGATACTCAAGTGCTTGAGCTCGTGAGTACAGCGCTCAATCATGGACTGGGCGTCCTCACGCGTGGTCTTGACCTCCTTCTGGACGTCGATCAAGAACCTCTGGAGGTGATCGGGGGTCATGATCCCATTCTCGGAGTAGCGGTCGAAGAGATTCTTGATCTCGTCGGGGGCCTCGCCGGCAGTGAGCTTGAAGCGCCGGCGGAAGCAGAAGCACACTCTGTAGGTCTGCTTGGACATGGAGGATTGAGAAGGGAATGTGGAGAAGAGAGAGAGAGAGAGAAACTGTGAAACTGTGAAGAAGAAGAAGAAGAAGAAGAAAACGGAAAAGGGGAAATCCAGAGAGGGCGGAAATTGAAAGAGATGCGTTATGTTTATTGAGAGTAATGGTGGAGGAGCGGTGGGCCCCAGTTTTCCGGCAATTATATAATATGGTTGGTTGGATTATTAAAACTTACACTTAAATCTCTTTAATTATCACTTTTGTACGAGAATATAGTTGAATGGTAATTAACATGCACTCGTCAAAGCAAATATAATTCAGCGACAATTGATATATATATCTTTAATTAATAAGTTGTGAGTTCGATTTCCTACCTAGTTATTAAAAAAAAAAAGATATGTACTCTTTCTTTTAAAGTTTGAGGTTTGATTCAAATAAAAAAAAAGATATGTACTCTTTCTTTTAAAGTTTGAGGTTTGATTCTCCCTATCCTAAATTGATGTACTTAAAAAATTAAAAGTATTGCTTTTTCATTTTACTAATTCATTTTGCCTTTTTTTTTCTTTTTATAACAATATTACAGATTAATAAATTTTGTTACATTATATAAAAAAAATTATCTTTTCCAAATTATATTATGGCTGAAGTTACATGTGAGCAAGTGATTTGGTGAATTGGCCTGGAAATAGAATATTGCACTAATGTGGTGTGTACACTCTAAAACAAGGGAACATTGAGAAATACGGCTATGTCATTACAATGTTTGCATTGTTATTTAACATATCTTCAGTCAACTATTAGTGGATTCTCCATTGGTTAGAATCTTTCAGGTCGGAGTTGAATTGAGCTCTACTTTTGAACACGTGGGATGGTTCTTCCTCGTTCTCGACAAGGCTTAGACATGTGTCTCGATGAGAGGGGGTTGAGTGAATTAAATTTAACCTAGTAATTGGCTCAAATTAGGCGAAGGAGGCAACTTTCACTCATGGTCTAATTTATAGTTCAAGACATACCTACATACTATTAGAAATGATGTAAATTTTTTTTTTCAATACATACATTTATACTTTCTTTCTCAAACAAAAAASAAAAAGAAAAAGAAAAAGAAAAAGAAAAGAAAAACGTACATACATACTATTTAGAATGAGATAATTATTTTTTTAGTACAATAACTGGAATATTATAGAGGTGTCTCAATTATCCTTGATAACATAATAATTAGTTAAATATAGATATTTTAATAAATGACTTTATTTTTCTTAAATAGTCCTTCAAGGGTAGAGCGAAGAAGTAAGTTGAGGGCAATTGTTCGTCCCTTAATTCGTTGCAACTAAATATGAAAAAACGTGCATACACATTTTTTAATCCCCATTCCCCAACCCGCGTGATAAAAAATTTTGTCCCATGAGAGATATGTGTCTTAACTACTTGAGCTATGCTCGGTTTAACTAGTTTACATGTTGTTTGTGCTTGAGAATCAATTAATAAAAATAGAAGGATTATTAGTAATAATGAAAATAGTGCTATTAGAAATTTGAGCTTTAATGATATTAAGAAACATTAAAAAAAATGTTACAGAGTGTGACGAGAGAAATAGAGTTTTTCATCAAAAAAAAAAGAAAGAAAAAACAAGTGTGTTTGAACCAAGGTTTTAAATATCGATGTCCATGGAAATGTCGACCTCTTAATTTCATGAAAATATCGATAAAAATATTGATAAAATGTCGATATCAATAGATATATTTATGTAAAAATTAAAGAAATTTAAAAATTGTAAAAAATATTCAAATTAACAAATAAATATTTTTTATTTCTAAATAAATTAAAACAATTAATATTAATATTATGTATATAATAGTGACATTTTGTTGTATTTTTCTTATTTGTCGATTTTTTTGTAATATAATAGAAATGTTGATTTATCCATCGATATTGAACCTATGAATACATGAAAATATCGATGAAAATGTCAACGTGTCGATAGATATTTAGTACCACGATTTGAATGAATGGAAGAATGGAAGAATGTCTTTTTATAAGGGAGAGAAAAGTTGCAAAATAATATAATAAAAAAAGTTTAGTATTAAAATTAATATTTGTAATTAGATATAACCTTTTAATGGGGAAAGTGATCAAATTTCCAATTTAATGAAAAAAAATTAAAATATAAATAAAACCTTTTGGCTTTCGTAGAGATATTTTTTCCCTATCTTTTTTCTTCTTAAATATACAAACAGAAAGAACAAAAATTTAAACCTATGGGTATGACGTTTTTAACTTCGATTTTTCATTCATTTGAGCATCATTCTAAGCAAGTAAATAATTTTTTAATACAAATCTGAGCGTAGCCAGTAAATAAGACATTTATTTACTATTTTAAAAATGGATGGTTTATTTCTACCCACAATTATAACAAAAAAAAATTTTATTTTAACCATATTGTAGAAAAATATATATCCACAAAAAAGAATTCATTAGAGAATTCATTAGAGCTTTTGAAACTACTACAAATAAATATAAAAAAACATTCATTTTCTCAAGATTTACAAGTGATCTGCACTTCCAACATGATATTTGTGTATACATTAATTTGAACCTATATAATTTTTTTTAGTTCGATAAAATGTAGAAGATTCAAACCTTGTCAATAAATATTTTCTTTGACTAGTTTAGTTGAGTCATACTTTCGGTAAAAAAAATTCTAGAACATACATTATCCTAACTTGATATAAGTCAAACTTTACCAACACCAAAATAATATTCTCAAACAATACTTCTACAGTTGTTTTAATATTCCTGACCAAATCACAATGGAAGATTTTCCACATATTCTATAGTTTTAATTCTTTTTTAAATACAAAAAAGTCGTATGTTACTTTCAATGGGAGATTTTAGAAATAGGAAAAAAAAATTCAATGAAAGTGGCTGTACTTGAGTAATGTTTAGCTGGTTAAAATTTTATTAATTTTAATATTATAATCTGCTCAGCATGTTATTTTTTATTTTTTATTTTTTGATAAAACATGTGGGGGTAGGATTCGAATTCATGACATCTTGTTCAGAGATAAATACCTTAACCATTTGAGCTATGCTCGGTTTGACCTACAATATGTTATTATGTGTTTGTGTGTATCTATATATATATTTTATAGCAACATGTTATTATTTAAATAAATGGACAATTAAAATCATATTTTATAATGATTTTGTTTTTTATTTCTTATTTTTTTTAAAAAATACTAGGTTTATTTTCTCACTTTTTTTCTTTTTGACGTCTTTTAAACATTCCTAAAAATTTTATTTAAATTTTTAGCTAAATTTAAAAAATAAGAGTGACTTTTCAAAATAGAGTAGTTTTCAAAAATTTGATTTTGCAAAGGTCTTTAATAAGGGAATTATCAAAACAAAGGAATATAAGTAGTGTTAGCTATAGAAGTTTAATTTTTTAAAAATAAGAAACAAAAAACAAAATGGTAGCGGACTAACTCATACAACTTAATTACTAGACTTCTATAGTTCGATTTTTTTAAAATACAAAACAGTTGTTTGTTTTTAATTTTTGACGATTTATATTTTGGAATTTTTTTAAAAATAATTTGTTTTTAAAAACAAATGACAAAACTAACGTAGGTTTCAAAGTAATTACAAAAATATTATAAATAAATCGTAGGGATGGACTGCGATTTGACCAAAGTCGCACTCATTGCCCGCGACTGACCTTGATTTCGGCTTTGACTTCTCCTTGACGTGCGTCTCTGCTGCTGCGACTTTCGTTTTTGGATACAACATGGTTACGACTTCCCACTAATATCCTTTGTTCTTTTTTTTTTATTTTATTTTTAAAAAATCAAAATTTAAGAAAAATACTAAATTATATAATCTTAATTTTCTCCATATTTAGAAAATAGATCATGCATTACCTACCATGGCCAAAGTTGAATGGGGGAATTTCCTTCTTCTATCTTGAATATTGAATTAAGGCTGGGTTTTCTACCCATGAAAAAATAATGTTAGTTTCTTTTTCATTAAGAATACCCTTCTAGTGAAATAATGCAGGGTACGTGAAAGTTAATATTAGTTCGATATCTGAAATTTTAGATGTGATGTTTGGCAGGTTTAGATAATAATCATGTTTGTTTCGTAGGTAAATTTATAATGATGTTGGAGACATTTAAATAGATATGTTATTGTCTTTGTACCATGCTCGAAAATTATATATATGTTCTAAAAAAAACTATTACGTATATTCATGTAATTTATACCTTCACTTCTATGTTTTTATAAATTTAATAATTTTTTATCGATTTAGTTTATATTAAATTTAAATGTTATTTTATAGAACATATCAAGATGAAGCACAATAAGCTGAATGACATTTTAATCATCCAATTGGTTTCAATCTCATTTTAAATTTTCAGACTTTATATGACATTCTAATCCAAATTTAAAATATAATAACAAAAGATAAAAAATTTAATCACATCTTAATTAAATTTTGAAATATTAATAAAATAACAATATTAAAAATTGAAATAGAAATAAAATAATAATAATAGTAAAAAGGTCGGAAAAAAAAGTGGAAGTATGTACACGACTTTCGCTTAGTCGCCTGCCATGTCAAATATACATGTTTGCACAGAAATCGCAGATATGCGAGTTTTGATTTTTATTTTGACCTAATATATTCTTGCCAATAATTTTGAAAACCTAATTTATGTTTGAATTTATTTATTTAAATTACATTTATTTTGTAATTATTTTTAGAATAATATTATTTTTGTAATTTATTTTTAAAACTAGATTATTTTAAAACTTTGTTCTATATTTAGAGATAGGAAAAGAGCACGTGTTTCTTTTATTTATTATATATTTTGAAAGTAATGTGGATGTGATCGAGATGCAATGTCCCAATTTGATGAAAATGTCAATGAAAATATTGGTAAAATGTTGATAAATATATATTTATAAAGAAATTATAAAGATAATTTTTTTTAACAAATATCTAAATTGACAAATAATTTTATATTTTTTAAATTAAAAAAATTATTATTGATATTACGTCTATATTAATGGTATTATGTACATCATATTGATTTTTTTTTTTTGTGATATATCGATGTCAAA